GGCAAGCCAATTTCACATACACAAAATAATTATTTTGCAAAATGTTACCAATAATTACCATTGTTTCTCTGTTTTTCCGTCTTTCTCGATCAACAGTTTCTTGTGATTTTCTTTCTGTGTCATTAAGTTGTTCTTCATAAAATCGAATTCTGAAGAACAAATATACAAACCAGCATGTGCTATTTTAATTTCTGTTTTCATTGTTTTCTTTATGTCTTACTGTATCAGTAAATGACTCAGTTATGTATCAAAGTTATTACCGGTATAATACTTACTTTTCATTAAGAAACGCATTTTCATTTTTCAATTTGGAATGCAGGTCATCTTTGGATGCTTTATAAGCTTGTAAACAATTAACTTGAGATTGTAACTTAGTAACCTGTAAAATAAACAATAACATTATCATAATTTCTCATCATGCAATATTCATTATAATCAAAACATATTTGAATGAATTGAATTGTTTCTTACAGCTGTCATGTAGATGGTAACCTGATTTAAACTCCAAATTTGTCATAAGAGCCCCTCAACCAAGCACCACCATCAAATACACACAGAAATCAAATTAAATAATAGAGGGACTTTTCTTATTAGCCTAATTACTGGGTGACTTTTCTGACAGCTCAATTATTATGTCATAAATTATTACACTGACATGATTCACTCCAGACACCATTATTAGTATGGAACCTTCAGAAAAAAACACTTGTAGCGCTCCAGTGAGGTACATAGTAAGCCAAGGTTAATTAAATACCCATAATGCAATATTATATATTCCAGGAATAGAAAACATCATTCATCATTTGGCAAATGACAAAAAACCTGCCCAATATACCAGTGTTAAAAATAATAGTTTTTTGAAAATAAAAACTGAATAAAAAAAAAAACATTCTCGTTGCTTGAAAACAGAAATTAACTCCTACATTGTGTTTTCCAAGCAAAAAGGACTCATTAAAATATGCAGGATTGTATTATCCCCAAAACTGGTAATTAATATTGCTACAAACAACTCTCTAATTGTGGGTTCTGAATGATAAACTGTTCTCATAATAAAACCATGTCTGCTAATGTAACAACAAACAGCGCCCTCAAACATGCTATCATGAACATACTGTTGTTTTTTCATTGAAATAACCAATCAGAAAACATAAATATATATACAATGTATATAGACATTTATTAGCCAGATTCACTTTATTTAGAATCCATTGCTGATCAGACAATTCTTTTATTATGAAGGGGTGAGGAGGGAGTTACCTTATCATTGAGGTCAGTCACATCACCATCGGATGCAGCAGTTTCTCCATAAATATCTTCTAAACTATTGTGTTTACTGTTGTTAGCGGAGACTGAATTTTTGTATAGATGGCTACAGAAATGAAAAAATAATTCTGATCAGGAAATGGAAAATAGAAGTGTTATCAAATTTGCACCAATGTACAATGGGATTAAGCTACATGTACTCTTTCATACTTTATTTATACTGGAATTTCTAGAAATGTAGATTTGTCATGAGATTTTATTATCATCTTGCAATTCACACAACTTCTTCATCACATATCACACCACTTATATGCATAAGCCTCATTTTATAAATTCTTGGTAACATGTTTTTTATGGCTTCCATGTTTTAAAAGTTACATAAATTTGTATCCCCGTATACATACAAAGTCTGCTACTTTTATGTAAGCAATAAATCATTACACGAAACTCAACATACCACAAGATAGTGGTAAAGAAACATGACATACATGAACAAGCATCAGAAAAGTTTAAATATGAAATACTACATGCATGCAATAACAGTACATCTGGAGACGCAAGCACCTTAAGAATATTTTTTGCAGGCATTTAATACCATTAGCTAACAGTGCTATGAGGTGGCTTAAAAAATTTATGGAAAGATTCAAAAACGCTTTGTGCGATGAATAATAATTTATTATTATTCTATGCTGAAAACATTTTTGTAGATTTTTGTTGGTTAAAATTCTGAAAATTCAGCAACCAATCAGAAAATCACATTTGAACATGTGACGTCACTGTGTTGCATACTGTGTTGAATGATGTGAGAATTAATCGATACACACCTTGCTATTTCACGTGTTGTAAGTCTTCTCACAGGACTGTTCAAAAGAAATAATAAAAAAAATATCAGTTGAAAAGAAATTATTTAAGAGTTACAGCTGTTGAAAAATAAATCACAAATGTTACTTGATCCAAGAAAAATTAATGTCAAATATTAAATTAGTATTCCCATATTCTGGCGGAAAACGAAGCATTAAGTAATAAATGGTTGCAAAGAATAAAAGCGTGATAGGCAAAAATGCTTAGCTATACAAATAAAAAATTAAGAGAAAAAAATTCCAATTGGTAATTTTGTCCCCCTGAAGTAAAATTCAAATTATGTTTGCGTCCAACGTTAGGAATGTGATGGTACAGAGAAGCAAAAGAGACACAAATGTTCAGTTTCCTATCAGATGCATTTGTGGCAGGTTTTTTTTTTAAAGCAAGCAATATATTTGTTATCTAAATTTCGCTACATTTTGAAATTTAACATTCACTTAATCATGTATTTGACCCTATACAGAATCATAGAGTGCCGTGCAGGTAGTGAATCAGAGATTGGAATAAAGACACCAAATTACAGGGAATCCATTCAACACTATATTCAACTATTTCTGGCCTTAAAGGGCGGTGGTTGTCACGCCATGTCCTGTTCGATAAGAGACTCATAATGCTTGTGAAATACATCAATTTTCACATGAACTCGTGCAGCGTGATGATTATCACCCTTTAAGTCAAGCCAAAAAGTTTAATATTTTATAATTGTATTGTCAAATGCATTTTTGGTCTTGTCAAATTATATTAAACTTATAAGAAGAAAATTTCATGATAGAGTAGAGTAAGTTTCTGTTTTCGGACTTTGTGCAACCACGGGACATGATGCATCAGTCTAAGCACCTTAATCTTGTATGTTTCACGAACGAAAAAAGAAATTTATATTTTATGGCTAAAAGTAGTTCAGATCAACACATCCGCATGATTGAAAATATATATATCTGTTTGATTCAAAATATTGATGTATATAGAGCAACAATTTTATTGGCTGAGAATTATCAAGTGTTGAAAAGATTCCCCCTTATATGGTAAAGTCAATACATGGGACTGACAAAACTAGGAATAATAGAACATTGGTTAGAAGGACACACAGTGCCATGTCAGAATACTGACTGAGGTGTTAGAGAAAATAGTCATTTACCCGACGTATAACCTGGCCTTGCACTTGGAGCTATGACAGTATGAAAGGCAGGCAGGTGGAATAAAAGTAAAGGATGAATTTAATATATTCCCATATCTATCATACACAACCATTAAACATCTATAGAAACGTGCACAATAAGAAGTAAAATCTGTAATGTTTTGACAATCTGGAATTCATACTGACATATTACTCAAACCAAGTCTACAAATATTTATTGTAGACCTTATTAATTCCTTAAAGTCGCTTGTTTTCAAAAAAAAGGGAAAGAGACATTTTTTTTTTCTCACAGGGTAATTTTCCATATAACCAAATTCTAAAAGCCCCACAACAATAAATATTCAATCACATCTGATTAAATATACAGGTAGTACTTCTCTCAGGTTGATACAATATGCTATGCTGATTGGAGAAGTGGTAGAGAAACAAAAAATAGAAGACCTCATCTACATCCTCACCAGAATGATATCAGTTTTATAGCATGTATTCCAGATATACGGTAACAGTATACACTGAATGAACAGCCATAATGATGCACATATTGACACAGCGGTACCATACTGACACTGACACTTATTCACACAGTATACGTAACACAAGGCGATACACACGTTTCAATCTAATGAGACAGCAACAGACGTATCAATTCACGTTATGACATGCTTTACATTGAAATCAAGCCAAGGAATTTATTTCATACACCGACAATAAAACCAAGTCATTTACTAGGGGGATTCTACAGCATGCGAGACATACAAGATATGAGATTATAATAATGATCAGTACCAGCTTAGTTGACGTACTCTGCCCCAAACATCTCGTTTTTGTGTTATTGTTTTTCGGTTATCAAAGGATAAAGATAAGCTGGAAAAGATGGAGACAGTTTCACAGAGATAAGTCAATACTGAATTCTAAAATGAGTGGATGAGTGAACACAGTCAGAAACCAGGGTAAGAGTTCAGTGTGAATAATAATGTTAATGAGTTAAAAATGCACATAGCTAACACACGTTTCTTTCTCTGCGACTAGTTATTTGAAAGTTTAAAAAAAAACTTGAGTAGGACTAAGCGCTATGAGGGAACCACAGTCATTGTTTCTATGGAAACAAGTTCATGAATCCCATCTTTTTATTTGCGTTTTAGCACTTACTCGATTCAACCTTTCAATCAGCAACAAAAATTTGTTTGCAAGTTTAGTACAACAAAGAAAGAAGTGAAAGGATCACACAAGCTAAAGACGTTTGTTCTAATGCTGTATACGTTGCTATAAAAATAACTAGTAATATAAAAGCATTGAGGCATGACAATCTACAATAACCGTAGTTGCAGTTTACATGGACGCATGTTGATACACTTAAATTACCATATAGAATACCTTGAAATTAAATTCTAATTACTTATTTAATAATAATTCAGTTCCAGACTGAAATCCACCTCACGATCTGAATATTAAGTTTCTTTACCAGACTCAGAAATTCATATTCAGCATAGAAGACTACTACGGTAAATACAGAGAGATCATGGCTTGTCGGGTTGTCATAGTAACCAGGTATTATGATAGACTGACTTGTATGCACAGCTCAGGCTATCAGAGCGTAATGCAAACCATAGTTACATTCCAACAAAGGATTTATTTAAAGGCCCAATTCACTTGCCCAGGGCAAGTGTGAATTGGAGGTGTGGCTATGCTAATGAGTGTTGTTAATCACTTGCATAGCCTATGACGCATCCTGTTTCAGCGGTCCAACATCACGTGACTTTGATTGACAATAGTTAATTATTCAAGATTAGTAGCGCGTCCCTTACCCCGGTTCATGTTTTTGACTTTTATACACCAAAATCTTAGCTCTTACACTATTTATTGTAATAAATACTACACACAGTCACTGTTGTGATATTCATAGTCACATGCATCCACTTTGGCACGACATAATAGACATGTAAGTTCGAGAAAACGCGCTATTACTGGAGCTTGGCTGGAGCTGTTTACTACAGCGTGACAAGCAAGGAAATAATTCCTATTGTTTAGGATCGTATTTATAGTATACCTGGGCCTTTAAGTCACTCTTCCAGACATTCTCAACAAAAAGGAAATTAAATTCAAAAAGCTATGTTTATCTCATCATACTGTTGTGTATGTACAATTTGCATAACATACTAATATGTAACAGAAACATAATTTAATAATTTTCACAATTTATAAAAACAATTCCAGCTTTTAAAAATAAATTCAAGATTCATTTTAACTAAATTGTTTGATCGTAGTTTGACTCAGAAAGTACTAGGTTCCTTAATCCAATCTGGGGACCTTTTCTGGAAGATGTGATATCAACAATCCTAACTTTGACTGATGAATGTGTTCAACAATTGATGTTTTCCAAGTTCTGTCAATGCGTCACACAGCATGCAAAGGTGTTACAAAATATGTCATTTCCACATATCAAAATTGTTCTGAGTTTTATTACGATTTTATGCCAAACTATTATGATCTGACTTTCTGTTTGAAAGGTGCGAGAAATAATCTCAAACTTAGACAGTGAATGCGAATATACCGGGTAATAACAAAATAACTAAATCAATTTGAAAATGAAAATGTAATTTGCTGTGAATGACTTCTCAAAAAAAATATTTGGGTAAGAATGTTCAATACAGAATGATAAAAGTACATCAATGTATGTCAAGTACTGATACCTCTGAATCAACCAGAATTGTGGTGACCCCACCAAGCGCACTCACTTACAGTAGAAATGGAATAAATTTTCGTTATTACAAAAAACTTAGAAATCATATAACATTCACATTTTTAATATTCACAGGATTTTTGGAGATATTATAAAAATTAATAAGCTAGATTACACTGATGATTGCACAGGATGAAATACATAACATCCAATGTTGCTAAATTTACATGGAAATATGGATGGAGCTTTTGTGTATTCTGCTGACAATGATGAAATACATACGACATAATGTATATACCGGTACTTACAGGAACATATAGTAGATGTTACTATATATGGGTAGAGCTTGATTGGCGCAAATATTGCACATTCAATTTAATATGTGATAGGTGGAACTTACGTTTGCATTGGTGTTGGTGTGGTCGGCGTCTGTCTATTAGAATCAGACAAGTAATCAGGTATATCAGTATCAGAGTCATCACCATCCATGTCATCACCTTCTCCATAGTCTACAAACTGTTCTTCATCATCACTAGAAGACCTCACAGTCAGTATCAATGGATGGTCATTTCGAGGTCTGAGTTTAACAAAATAATACAAAGTTATCCCAAAAATGATACAACTATCTATCTTGGGAATCTCCAAATAAATACAAATACCCAGAATTTATTCATTTTGCAATCACTAATACTCCTGATATAAGGATATGGATTTAAAAACAAGAGAGATTACCAGCCTTATTTTCTTGTGAAAGGTTAGTGAAAGTCCAGATATGGTACACAAGGAAGCCAGCAGATAAACGAACGGACAACCAGCAAAAAAAAACAACATATCTTACTTTTTCCTTGTATATGTTAATGTATTCATTGTACTACTGGTAGGTGATGGAGTCAAGGCACTGTCTGTGTCATCAGTTGTTAGAAGCGTTATGGCATCCTCATCAGTGGCGTCCGTCATCACACTGTCATCGTTCATCTCATCATATTCATTGTATGTACTCTCAGAAGTTTCATAAGTCTGAAAAAAATAAAAACATGATTCAAAATATTGTTGATTACCATATGAGGGTTTTGATGCTGTATTGCTATAATGGTTGTCCAATTCAATCTAATGGTATTATAGCGTATTTGCTCTATTATAGGTAGTAAGCAGGACATACATGTATCTATCTAACAATTTTAATGAACCAGAATACAATACATACAATGTTTGGTTTTTAAATGCTTCTATTAAGAGAACTTTCACAAAACCTACACTGTTACCATTCACCAGCTTCTTAAGACCAACGTTTCATAATTGTATAAAGTCAAATATCCTGACACTAAGTCCTTCACCATATGTGAATTCACTTGGACAGAACGACTGCTATACCTTGGACTTTGGACTGTTTTCTTAACATCAATAACATCACTAGGAAATTTGGCTTTAATAATTACGTACATGTACACTCAGTCCTCGAGTACAATTTGAAATATTCATAACAGACTTAGAAATGTACTTTGTCTTGCTGTAATCTACAGATCACATATTGTAAATAACAATATCATTTATTGTGTAGACTCCATGCACATAAGCCAGTACATTATAGAGGAACAGGGTTATTAAAAAATAAATTAATTATCTTTAAAAACTAATAACGTGTATGTATGAATATTTAACAATGTTAACAGGATAATATATGCTAATTTCTACGTAGTACTCACGAAGTGATATTACAGTTCAGATAAAAAATGGTGCAACTTTTTATCAACAACAGTTAATTACACATTGACCCAATTTTACATAGAAATACAAAAGATCTCAAATACACCGACAAACCACAGCTTTAAACAACATGTTTTATAAATAGAAACGGTTTTACAGCAAGATACCTGAGGTGATTGTTCCATGGCAGGTTTAAAACGAACGGACGATTTCAAAGCTTGACGTTGTTGATGTTTACTGTATAATATATACATAAAGGAAACCACAACTGTGACCGCAATTAGATTGGTCACCGATGACTAACCGTACCTCGCGAATAAACTATGACCTGAGTCAATGTTTTGATCAATATTCAACTTGTCAGTGAACCGTGACATTCTAATGCTAATCTGGTATCCATAAGACATAGTTTCATGATTTTATGCCAGTTTCCTGTCATCTAACATACACCTGTTGCATATGCAATATTCCAGTTTGCCTGACAAATTATGTTAGTCCTCAGATAGAATTAATGCTAGAATAGAATACAAGATAAATAGAATTTTAACAGATCCATAACTTAATAGGAAAACTCTATTCAGTCATTTGTAATATACACAGAATTCAGGTCACATTACTTACCGTACTAACACTTAATGTACGACACAGCAATATACTGGCTATTAAAACTACAAAGATACGTTACTGCTATATATATACAGCAACGTAGGGAATGATGCACAACAACGTTTGACTGCATGGAGTGATGTCGTAGAACGACTTAATATGTAACTACAACCCCATCAGATGCACAGTAGAACAATAACTGATATTATCATGTGACAAGGTTTACACCCGCAACTCAAATAGATACAGTGTGTCATAGTTTAGAGTAGAGGTTATAGGTGTATCACATCTTGATGAAATTGGAAGGCAAACGATATATAACTATGGTAAAAGCCTTGAATTGTTCTCCTTTGACACAGGTATACAATACGGTTACAAGTTACGTGACTGAGTATTTTCGATCAAATGCGAAATAATAACATAATTGTATGCACATAATTGTATTCATACCCTGTAGCCATAGCGACACATTCAAGCAGGAGGAATAATATAATGGGACAAGGTAAATCTAATGAATTAAAGGAAGGTCTGATTAGTTACTATTCATGTACTGACTACGTAATATTATCGTTGCATTTTTGGACTCTGAGAGTTGCTAAGCAATTAAAATAAATAGAAATTGCTAAATGCCTAAAATGAATTATGCTTTTTACTTCAGTGAACATGTTTGTAAGGTAACACTTTTAATGCTCTCAAACAGACCAGACTAGCGGTGGTACCGGGGTAAATACTTTGAACAGCAAATGGAAAGTAATGATCAATGTTCTGGCAAAATGGCCGCCATCTAGCTCAATGCATTAGGGTCATTTAAACTGTCACCTAAAAGACGAAAATAATTTAAATTGATTTCTTCAACTACAAGTTAATTTGGAACAGGAATCAAAAACAAATAAATGCATGTATTATGTGTCTCAAGTTTGCATGCATATTCTGTTTTCACATATGGATGTAATTGTATTGTTTTAATCTTTACAATGTAGTTGTCCGTCAATAACTTAAAATCTGTTAATTTGCTTATTTTGAATGAATAAGTTGTCAGTTTGAAAGACATTGATTTCTAGACCCATCTCCTTTTTTTTTATCTCCCCAGTAGCAAACCCTCTTATTTTATTTTTTCAAATTGGTACATACCTGTGGTACTGGTACAATTGCATGTTTGTTTTTAAAAATGAAAGCGCACTGTATGAATATGTAATGAATTGCCTGTTCATAGTAAAAACATTCAATCTCACGAACGTAATGCATTACTATCACCATAAAATGATTACTTTACATACTATTTTCACGATTACCAGCACGTCTAATACACACAAATGCAACTTTAATTTCTTGAGGGAATTTTTTTGTGAGGGAATCGTGAAATTTTGTAGCAGTAAAAAGACATGGAGTCAGAATGGGTTAAGTAAAATTTTCTAGAATGCCTTTTAATCATCAAATCGCAGAAATTTCCAGCAGCAAAAATTAAGCAGTTTACAGCACATAATATTTAAGGATAATGGCGGTGAAAACTTACATTGTTGTATGCTATATGTCTTAAAATACAGATAGCCTCAAAGCAAGTTGCTGAAAATACTTGCAGAATACCACATACTGCAGGACCTTATGATGTGAAAGCCTTTTATGAATACAGAATTATTTATTCGGTAAAAAAAAAAATCAAAGAAAGCTTAGAAAGAACTCCCGTGTGCTGAGAGTATTGAAGACACATTAAAAATTAATTCAAAAATACTTGTACATGAGATATTGATGGAAAAGCTGAAAACTAATTATGTAAATCAGGTAACTAGTATGAACAGAACAGAACAAAAAAATTATGAATTATAATGCAAATTAGGTAATTAATATGTACTGATATTACCCTAAAAACTATTAGGTTTGTGCAGTGTCCTATGACATCTATGTACCAAGTTTTATTGAAATGTGATGATTAGTACTTGAGATATCAGTGGAAAAGCCGAAAATTGATTAATCATTATGCAAATTAGGTAATTAATATTGCACAAATTTTTACCCAAAACTAATCAAATCTGTGCATTAGTTTGGAGCATATATGTGCCAAGTTTCATCAAAATACAATGAGTGGTTCTTTAGATATCAGTGGAACAGCTAAAAATTATTAAGCTAATTATCATGCAAATTAGGTTATTATTATGCATGGATTTTTACCAAAACCTAATCAAATCTGCGCATTGGCCCAGAGCATCTATGCACAAAGTTTCATCAAAAAACAATGTATGGTTCTTGAGATATCGATGGAACAGAGACACACAGACAGACATACAGACAGACAGACACACTAACTGCAAAAACTCTATTTTTGTGCTTCGCACACAGGAGTCTAAGTATGAACTTATCACTAAATGTGAAAGGGGAAAATATATACAAAGAATGAATGTAAGTTTATGCAACTGAAATGAAATGAAATAATAGTTTGTAGCTGCAAAGTATTTTATACTCAATGAAATTTGTCAGGCATACATCTGCCTATTGTTTGCGTTTATGAGAATTGTCAATTTTGATTTGTCATTTGAATAAACGATGCAATCAGAAAAAATGATAATCAAAGGTCTGTTGACAGTCACTCTAGTGGGAACAATCAATAATAATATGGCTTACAATATAAAAAAATCTGAAGTTGACAACAGAGGAATAAAAAAACTAAATATATATTATAACAAATGTGTGTTCCAGATATCAGGGTAGAGAACATTTTTGAATATAATCAATTACAATCATTACTAGGTGGTTGATTGCCATGCACATAGAAACTTACATTTATATGCAGTCATGCTCGTAAATTAAATATTTGCATCTAGGTATGATTTCATGGCCTTGATTGAGGTCAGAGGATAAATCAAGGCAATAGCGAATATAGCCAGAAGCAATATGGTTATACAGAAAAAAAGGCGTGTATACAACATTTATTTAATACAAGAAATAGATAAACTATATTCCAAGAAAGAATGAACATGGTTAAAATGTTTTCATTTATAATTAGACTGCACATATTGTTGTTGGAGCAGATAACTCATAATAAAAAATTGTATAGATTTTTCATGAACTGACACTCCAAACACAAAAATCAATTACAACTGAAACAAGACATGATGAATTCTATGTGATACAATACCGATTACAAGTAAGTCATTCATGACCTTTAATTTTTATCTCTTCCTTTAATGCCAATTATTTTGTTTTCCCATCAAGAGATGAATCTCCATGGATACAATGGATCAGTTGCTAAGATACTGGTGAAATTTAATGAACACTGATGATAAAAATAAAACACAACAACTGTGACATGAATTTTAATGTAATGGTGTGATGAGTTATTGTTTTGTTTGTCACTGTGTTACACATCCCATTTACATTGAATGCAATGTATTCTGTTAAAATGTCTCATTTTGCAGCAGTGATACCAATTTTATTTTGATCAATGTTTTAGTACTTGTACCGAGTAACAGTTTACATGACTCTCAGTTATTAGTTCATTTGTAAAACTAACAGAATGTCAGACTATTAATGCATAGTGTAACTAATCATCTGGCCAATAATGCACTGTTTGACCAATGGGCGTCAGATCATGATGCACTTTTTGACCAATGGGTGTCAGACCAGTAATGCACTGTTTGACCAATGGGTCTAAGACCAATTATACACTGTTTGACCAATGGGGGCCAGAGACCAATAATGCACTCTTTGACCAATGGGGGCCAGGACCAATAGTGCACTGTTTGACCAATGGGCATCAGACCAATAATGCACTTTTTGACCAATGGGTGCCAGAGACCAATAATGCACTGCTTGACCAATGGGGGCCAGGACCAATAATGCACTGTTTGATCAATGGGTCTCAGACTAGCAATACACTGTTTGACCAATGGGGGCCAGAGACCAATAATGCACTCTTTGACCAATGGGGGCCAGGACCAATAATGCACTGTTTGACCAATGGGCATCAGACCAATAATGCACTCTTTGACCAATGGGCATCAGACCAATAATGCACTTTTTGACCAATAGGTGCCAGACCAATAATACACTGTTTGACCAATAGGTGCCAGACCAATAATGCACTGATTGACCAATAGGTACCAGACCAATAATACACTGTTTGACCAATAGGTGCCAGACCAATAATGCACTGATTGACCAATAGGTGCCAGACCAATAATACACTGTTTGACAAATAGGTGCCAGACCAATAATGCACTGTTTGAATACAATGGCGATTTGATCCCGGGCAAGACATTATCGCACACTTTATTAGCCTGTGCTAAGGATTAGACCAGGTCTTTAAAATGAGTCAGATTTAGCTTGTACTTACCAATTCTTAGCTGATACTAAGCATTCACGCATGTTTTCTTAGCACGGGCAAACATTTTGGACCTTTTAGCCCATGCTAAGTGCTGTGCGCGACACAACTATTAATACCCTGCACTGTAAAACCAATAGATGTCAAATAACAAATTAGTTTACTTAGGAAAGTGACATAATAGTTACAGTTACCAGTTATTTTAATATACCATATTTGCTCTATTAGAAGCACATCTCCAACAGCAGTGCATACAAATGAAAAATTACATTTACTGTGTACTGTAACATTAAAATAAGACTTATTTTGACCAGAAAAATACCTTTTTCATCTATGTGAGCACATGTGCTACTCACAGAGCAAATGCAAGTAGCTAGTACTAATTTTGAAGAAGCCAAAAGTGAGTGAAAGTTCAAGCCATTCTGTGGTAATCCACAACTCATTGAGACAAGGAGGCTGTGGTTTTTTCATGTGTGCCAAGGACAGGAACAACACACAAGACACAGTGTTTTACATCTCCTCTCACTGGATGCCATTCTCCTGACTAACACCATGAGCCTGGTAATTTAAGTGGCAGTATGGACTAATCCCGTTAGGAGGGCAGCTGACCATGAGAGTCAGGAACTCACAAACTCCCTGATGATGGGCAGAAACACCATTACACTAGGTTGTTAATAAGTAACATAAGTCGAGCAGGAAGTAACCAGGAATAAATGGTCAATTTATTTCATCATGTGAAATTCTACTAAAAAAAATATACATCAACACTTCGTATAAGGAAGTTTTTGACAGACAATACAGGAACTTTAGGTGAAACAAGATACATTTATTTCCTGGTTACCAATGCATTGTAAGGTAGCATTCAAAGTAAAGTAAAATTAGAATGCAGTTTCTGTATAGAAACCTTATACCGGTATATCTATATTCCTGGACAAGGCAGTCAACGATGGGATTAGTCACTCCACAGGTATACACATGCTGTTATGTAATACATCTTTCACACCCTACCCTTTTTTTAATGTTTACATCAATTCTCTAATTATCCTATCAAGCCAGAGTATTTAATTACCTGTGATTGCTTAATTAAATCATAATTAAAAGCAAATCTTTGTGTAAAACCACACAAACACGGATTGTGTATAAAAACACACAGAGATGGATTCTGTGTAAAAACACACAGAGATGGATTGTGGATATGGTAAGTATTGATATCATGCAGTAATTTCAAGCAGTCAGGATATCTGACCTCGAGAGGCACTATATGTATGTCTTAGATATGCACAGATATAGGTCTACATACAGAATGCTAGTGTCATGCTTGTAAAACAAGACTTGAAACTAATTTTGAAGGACAAAAACCTTTCCAAACACAAGGTATGAAAACAATAACAGTATTTTTACCTGGCTGCTATCGTCATCGTCCATAGCATAGGTTGCCACCTTCACGGTCTGATTTCAAACACAGCAACACAAATTTATCAAATCCACTCAATAAAAAATACACAAGACCTAACTAGGTGTTAAAAACTGTGACAAATTTGGGTGTAACCGTAGTACATTTGATCTGCTGCTTCAGTGTGCAGATCACCTACGCATTCAGCTGTTTGTCCACAGCTACGAATTGTACAGGTTAATTTGCATAACAATAGGGTTAATGTATGCCTGACAATATGGCAGATTTGAAGGTAGCCTCATTATGTTAATGAGTGTGTATTCAACAACCAATCACAGACAAGCTACTATTTCAAGGTCATAAACAAATGCTTTCGTAAGATGCTCAGACAAGGACTTCCAAATATCTTAATGTAATTAATACATTTATTTTTAGATTGTAAACAGACAGTCAAATAATCCAGGGAAAAATATTTATCTGAAATATGATATTCCATAGACCTGCTTCTTATGTTCATACCTTAATAAACAAATAATCTTTAGTAACATTCTCAATTGTTTTAATCAAATTTGAAATTTAAAACAATTGATAAAAGCAAGAAAACATACTGTTTTTTTTTTGTTCTCTTGCTTTCTGTTTTGGTATTGTTCTTGTACAACCATAAGAAAGTTCCACTGGTTTTTCTTAGTGTTATAATAAATCATTTGTTTTTGTCATGTTTTAATTGTTTTTGATTAAAAACAAATATTGTACTATAAAACATAATTTTCTAATTTTACAAGAATATACTTCAGAATTCTCACTAATCACAACAAAAAATCAGATCATTCTTACGTTAAAGATTGATGGCATCCAGCCAAAATAAAAGATTCTGCTGTGTACTACAAAGCCGTGATTTTTCCCACAAAAATTCAGTGTACCATTTTGCACATTTTTTTCAATAATTTTTTTGTCAATTTTGGACAAATTAACACAATATCCTATTGTCTACAAGTCTTGATAAAAATTAAGATTCTGCTGTACGTGTACTATAGAAGCCATAATTTCTCACGCCAAAAATTGGTGTTTCATTTTGCACAACTTTACATATTTTCTCGTAATTTCTTTGTCAATTTTGGAGACATTTGAATCATTTAAACAATGAAATATAAATTGTCTTATACTCACCATATAGCTTATATGTGTTGTATTTGTGAAACATATTTGTACCTTACAAACAATATAATTATAATATTTAAATATTTCATAAGATGTGAACTATTTTTTAAATAAATCATTATGCATATAGGATATGTTTGTATCATTCCAATCTGGATAACAGTAAATAATATTTGGTAATCAGTGTCCTAAGTAACTACCAGTATTAAATAATAGTTTTAATAGTTACTTAGGATGATTACCAAATATATCAGTCTGAGCAGCGTTTATTTATTGATAACTACTTATGGATAACAGTAATATTAATATTATTATGTATAATAATATATTAGAGAAAATGGCAGTAGTTAAGTATTGACTTTATTATTTTAATAATATTGGTGCAACATCACTAGCCCGGGTACCTTCCTATTATTTTGTGGGTCCTTCATCCCTGTTCGTTATAGTCTGGACATGCCCAGTTACCTTCCTATTATTTTGTGGTTCCTTCATCCCTCTCCGTAATAGTCTGGACATGCCCGGGTACCTTCCTATTATTTTGTGGTTCCTTCATCCCTGTCCGTTATAGTCTGGACATGCCCAGTTACCTTCCTATTATTTTGTGGTTCCTTCATTCCTCTCTGTAATAGTCTGGACATGCCCGTGTACCTTCCTATTATTTTGTGGGTCCTTCATCCCTGTCCGTAATAGTCTGGACATGCCCGGGTACCTTCCTATTATTTTGTGGTTCCTTCATCCCTCTCCGTAATAGTCTGGACATATCCGGTTACCTTCCTATTATTTTGTGGGTACTTCATCCCTGTCCGTAATAGTCTGGACATGCCCGGGTACCTTCTTATTATTTTGTGGGTCCTTCATCCCTGTCCGTAATAGTCTGGACATGCCCGGGTACCTTCCTATTATTTTGTGGGTCCTTCATCTCTGTCCGTAATAGTCTGGACATGCCCGGGTACCTTCGTATTATTTTGTGGGTCCTTCATCCCTCTCTGTAATAGTCTGGACATGTCCGGTTACCTTCCTATTATTTTGTGGGTCCTTCATCCCTCTCCATAATAGTCTAGAAATATTGCGTAGATTTCGCTTATTAACCATGTAAATTTATTACAATGTAATCAAAAATGAAA